TCAACTAACTTTCAATTTTTCACGCATATTTTTCTATTCGCACTGAAATCATGTTCGCAAAATCCAATTTTTCCGATTCAGGCTGTTCAAATCAGTCAACTGTGTTAAACTGGAAAATATAAGTTTAAATTGTTGTCGATTTAAAATGTTTAGTAGTGAAAAGACTAGGTGTTAAAATGTACGGTGTTGAATTGTATGGTAGTAAACTGTAGGACACCAAGTTAACTCAACTAATGTGTCTTGAGTATTCTATATTATTGATTTCTTTGATTTGCAACGGTGAATAACTTACGTCAGCTTCGCAGTTGGGTTTCTTGGTTTTCTGGTTATCAATCTGGTTGATAACATCTTTCTGTGCTAGCACTATGTTAGCAACTTATTTTGTTAGATCTCAATTTCTCTGATTTCTTCAATTCGAAACGAACAAAAGCGAGATTGCTGAACTAGTTCCTCAATCCGAAATAAACAAAAGCGGGATTGCTGAAACTGATCTCCTCAATCCGAATCAAACAAAAGTGGGATTATTGAACTATTTCTGGCAATTGGTCGTCCCGAATTTCAGTTAAACTACACGCAGCTGGCAAATTGCATGCGACTGTCGAAACTGCAAAAACACTTGGAGAATTATGCGTGAACAATTTGTTGTTCAAAGCTTTGAAGCATTGATTTTTACAAAAAAGCATTCAGTACATAAATTAATTCTGTTTGACTTGAGTTGACTGGTTAAAATTAAATGAAATGATGAGTTAATTCAACTGACTTTCAATTTTTCACGCATATTTTGCTATTCGCACTGAAATCATGTTCGCAAATTCCAATTTTTCCGATTCAGGCTGTTCAAATCAGTCAACTGTGTTAAACTGGAAAATAGAAGTTTAAATTGTTGTCGATTCAAAATGTTTAATAGTGAAAAGACTAGGTGTTAAAATGTACGGTGTTGAATTGATGGTAGTAAACTGTAGGACACCAAGTTAACTCAACTAGTGTGTCTTGAGTATTCTATATTATTGATTTCTTTGATTTGCAACGGTGCATAATTTACGTCAGCTTCGCAGTTGGGTTTCTTGCTTTTCTGGTTACCAATCTGGTTGATAACATCTTTCTGTGCTAGCACTATGTTAGCAACTTATTTTGTTAGATCTCATTTTCTCTGATTTCTTCAATTCGAAACGAACAAAAGCGAGCTTGCTGAACTCATTCCTCAATAAACAAAAGCAGGATTGCCGAAACTGATCTCCTCAATCCGAATCAAACAAAAATGGGATTATTGAACTATTTCTGGCAATTGGTCGTCCCGAATTTCAATTAAACTACACGCAGCTGGCGAATTGCATGCGGCTGTCGAAACTGCAAAAACACTTAGAGAATTAAGCGCAAAAAATTTGTTTTTCAAAGCTTTGAAGCATTGATTTTACAAAAAAGCATTCAGTACATTTATTAATTCTGTTTCACATGATTTGACTGGTTAAAATTAACTGAAATGAATTAATTCAACTAACTTTCAATTTTTCACGCATATTTTTCTATTCGCACTGAAAGCAATGTTCGCAAATTCGAATTTGTCCGATTCAGGCTGTTCAAATCAGTCAACTGTGTTCAACTGGAAAATAGGAGTTAAATTAAATTGTTGTCGACTTAGATTGTTTACTAGTGAAAAGACTAGGTGTTAAAATGTACGGTGTTGAATTGTATGGTAGTAAATTGTAGGACACCAAGTTTACTCAACTAGTGTGCTTGAGTATTCTATATTATTCATTTCTTTGATTTGCAACGGTGAATAATTTACGTAAGCTTCGCAGTTGGGTTTCTTGGTTTTCTGGTTACCAATCTGGTTGATAAAATCTTTCTGTGCTAGCACTATGTTAGCAACTTATTTTGTTAGATCTCATTTTTCTCTGATTTCCTCAATCCAAAACAAACAAAAGCGAGATTGCTGAACTAATTCCTCAATCCGAAATAAACAAAAGCGCGATTGCTGAAACTGATCTCCTCAATCCGAATCAAACAAAAGTGGGATTATTGAACTATTTCTGGCAATTGGTCGTCCCGAATTTCAATTAAACTACACGCAGCAGGCAAATTGCAGGCGACTGTCGAAACTGCAAAAAACACTTGGAGAATTATGCGTGAACAATTTGTTTTTCAAAGCTTCGAAGCATTTGTTTTTACCAAAAAAGCATTCAGTACATTTATTAATTCTGTTTCACTTGATTTGACTGGTTAAATTAAATGAAATGATGAGTTGATTCAACGAACTTTCAATTTTTCACGCATATTTTGCTATTCGCTTTGAAGCATTGATTTTTACAAAAAAGCATTCAATACATTTATTAATTCTGTTTGACTTGATTTGACTGGTTGAAATCAACTGAAATGATGAGTTAATTCAACTAACTTTCAATTTTTCACGCATATTTTGCTATTCGCACTGAAATCAATGTTCGCAAATTCCAATTTGTCCGATTCAGGCTGTTCAAATCAGTCAACTGTGTTAAACTGGAAAATATGAGTTAAATCGTTGTCGATTTAAATTGTTTAGTAGTGAAGACTAAATGTTAAAATGTACGGTGTTGAATTGTATGGTAGTAAATTGTAGGACACCCAGTTTACTCAACTCGTGTGTCTTGAGTTTTCTATATTATTCATTTGTTTGAGTTGCAACGGTGACTAATTTACGTAAGCTTCGCGGTTGGGCTTCTTGGTTTTCTGGTTACTTATCTGGTCTACAACATCTTTCTGTGCTTGCACTATGTACGCAACTTATTTTGTTAGATCTCATTTTTCTCTGATTTCTTCAATCCGAAACGAACAAAAGCGGGATTGCTGAACTATTTCCTCAATCCGAAACAAACAAGAGCCGCATTACTGAAACTGATCTCCTCAATCCGAAACAAACAAAAGTGGGATTGCTGATCTATTTCTGGCACTTCATCATCCCGAATTTCAATTAAAACTACACGCAGCTGGCAAATTGCAGGCGAATGTCGAAACTGCAAAAACACTTGGAGAATTATGCGTGAACAATTTGTTTTTCAAAGCTTTGAAGCATTGATTTTTACAAAAAAAGCATTCAGTAAATTTATTAATTCTGTTTCACTTGATTTGACTGGTTAAATCAAATGAAATGAAGAGTTAATTCAACTAACTTTCAACTTTTCGCATATTTAGCTATTCGCTTTGAAATCAATGCTCGCAAGTTCCAATTTGTCCGATTCAGGCTGTTCAAATCAGTCAACTGTGTTAAACTGGAAAATATAAGTTAAATTGTTGTCGATTTAAATTGTTTAGTTTTAGTAGTGAAAAGACTAGGTGTTAAAATGTACGGTGTTGAAATGTATGGTAGTAAATTGTAGGACACCGTTTACTCAACTCGTGTGTCTTGAGTATTCTATATCATTCATTTGTTTGAGTTGCAACGGTGACTAAATTACGTAAGCTTCGCTGTTGGGCTTCTTGGTTTTCTGGTTACCAATCTGGTCTACAAAATCTTTCTGTGCTTGCACTATGTAGGCAACTTATTTTGTTAGATCTAATTTTTCTCTGATTTCTTCAATCCGAAACGAACAAAAGCGGGATTGCTGAACTCTTTCCTTAATCCGAAACAAAAAAGAGCGGCATTGCTGAAACTGGTCTCCTCAATCCGAAACAAACAAAAGTGGGATTGCAGAACTATTTCTGGCAATTTATCGTCCTGAATTTCAATTAAAACTACACGCAGCTGGCAAATTGCATGCGACTGTCAAAACTTCAAAAACACTTGGAGAATTACGCGTGAACAATTTGTTTTCAAAGCTTTGAAGCATTGATTTTTACAAAAAAAGCATTCAGTACATTTATTAATTCTGTTTTACTTGATTTGACTGGTTAAAATCAACTGAAATGATGAGTTAATTCAACTAACTTTCAATTTTTTACGCGTGTTTTGCTATTCGCTTTGAAATCAATGCTTGCAAGTTCCAATTTGTCCGATTCAGGCTGTTCAAATCAGTCAGAGAAAAAAGTGACTCAGTCCTTTAAAAAAGTACTGACCAAAAAAAATTTTTCTGCGCGAACTCAGAATACAGTATATAATTAGAAAAACTTCGGGCACAGCCAGCAAACTTTTAGGGTCAAAAGGGATTTATCAAACGACAATTGCTTAAATTCCCTGAAATAAGCAGCTTTTTTGAGAAAATAAGCCTTGGAAAAAATAGAAATTCCACCTCAATTTTACCTTTCAGGTAGAAGTTCGGCCTCAAAAGTAAAAATAAACAGAACTTCTTTCTCCAAACCAATAACATAACAAACAGACAGAATTGTCAAGGAAATTAAACGCTTAAGTTCTTTGAAATTCGGGCATTTTTAATGATTGACAATTATATGATGAAATAACCTCATTTGAGAAAAATAGATCAAACGATAAAATTTCAATTCCACTAGAATATCAGATTAAAATCACTTTTTAAACTAAAAGTTGATGATTTTTTTATAATTTCTTTTTCAATTTAAAAAAAAACTTGCCTTCCTTTATCAAATGATTTTGATATAAAAAGGCAGTAAAATTGGCCGTAGACTACTTTTCGGACACTTCTTTAAGACAAACAAAAACACGACCAAAATAAGTGTTTCATTTCTTTCATTTACTTTGAAAGACATATTGAAATAGATTTACCTAATCATTGTCACTGTGAAAGGGCTTGACAACCACTTAATTTGATAACCACTTGGTTCAGTACAAATTTGTTAAGGCACCTATATTTGGCCGGGAAAAAACCACGTATCACAATAGTTCCATCTCAAATTGTGTGTGATGCGTTTGGAAAAAATCAAAAAACTTTTCGCAGTCTACTCGCTGATGTCCTGGACACAGTCTGCTTTAGGAGCAAATACGTTCTCGAGCATATTTCGCTTTAAAGAAGAAGAAACAAATTCAAAAGTTTCTTCAATTGCTTCTGATCCCTCTCTTGCAAAAAAAAACTGGATGCGTGACTTTTATTAATGAACAAACCAAATATACATACGTTCTGTTCTAGGCTAGTTCCATTTGCGTAGAATTCTCTGACCATAATACACCTAAAACGAGAACTTAAATGAGTGATATTTTTAAAAAAACGTTTAACTAAGTCAAGCGACACCATCGCCCCATATCCAACTTATTATGTATCATGAAAAACATCCAAAAATAATAGGTAAGTGTTAAATATTTTGTTTGTTTTATCCTCCAGATTGTTTGTTACAATTGTGGAATTTGTGACATTCGAGCAGAATGGCGCCAAAATGCATGACAACTTCGAAAGTTTATTGTAACCATTGACTGGGAAGCTTGACAGTTTTGGAAGATTAACTGTACTAATCGTACGATTTAACGAATTAGGAAAGGTCAATTCGAAGTGACGAAATAAAAAATTTTAAAATTCGTTTGTAACATTCGCCCGGAAGATACATATCGACGGATAACAAAACTAAGTCTTAAGACGACTGGCTAGCGTCTAAACAGAGCTTTGCATGTTTTTCACCGTCTCTACCAAGCCAGTACTTTTCGGTGGTCTTTTCCAACATCGGGTCGACAAAAACGTTACTGCTCTCCGGCTTCGACCAGAACGCTCAAATTAACTGAATTACATGCAAAAATAGTGAGCTCATGGCTGGGTCTCAGTATCCCCAGACCACGAGGTCACTCCTAAAAACAGGGCTACTACTTATTATATTACTATTGTTTTTGTTCAGTAGATAAAAACCATCATCTCATCGAAGATGGATCAACCCTTTCCCCCCAACTCTTAGCACCTCATCCTTGTCAAAACTAATCCAAATATCAATTAAATTCAAGTCAGGACATGACAGGATGCTAAAAGTTCACACGAGTCAATAAAAGTTTTCCGTCCCGAGACCCTTCCGAATTCTTGAATCCGGTGAATCAAGCTCCTTGAGTTCGACTTCACGATAACACGGAAGGCTGGTTTCCACCCTTCACCGTTGCTCGCAACGGCCTTGCAACTATTGTAGCAGCACAATAGTTGCAACTCGGAACGTTCTCTGTAATTCGTTGTCGTCTTCTTCAATTTCGATTTCCTCAATTTCGATAAAGTTGTTCTCGTCAGCGCAACTAATGTATTTGTGTTTTTTCTCTCGTTTCTTGTTAAAATGGCCGTTTCAGCATTTCTCAGCAATGTGACGTCATCATTCGAATTTTTGAAATTTTAAAATACTAGAATATTCCAGCCCTCACCGTTTGGCTAAACGTTCCAATAACGGCCTTAGTTCTTAAAAACCACCAACCCGGAAGGCTTACTGCTAAAATTCCGAATTCTGCAGAGATTGCATTTTTCACATTCTGGTCGAATGTCACATACTCCCCGGACAGTCCGGTCAATGTCCTCATTGAATCGCGCAATGTTCTAAATGTTTACAGTGTCATCGAACAGAATTTGCAAAATGCACGAAATTACTTTCATCTACGTCACATCGACTCACTGCAGAATATAAATGGCATCATACTACATCACTATAGCCTTCAAATTCTCTCATTAACCTGCACTTTGAGGATGCAACCTAAGATAAAACATATTTCCTGACTTCCAGTGTCAATGTCCCGATTAAAACTTTTTCTCCTAGATTTAATGTGACATTCGACCAGAATGGCCAAAATGCAATTTATGCAGGATTCGAATTTTGAGCAGTAAGCCTTCCGAGTTGATGATTTCGAAGGATTAGCGACGTTATTGGAACGTTTAGCCAAACGGTGAGGGCTAGAATATTCTAGTATTTTAAATTTTCAAAAATTCGAATGATGACGTCACATTTCTGAGAAATGCTGAAACGGCCATTTTAACAAAAAAGCGAGTAAAAAACAGAACAACTTTTATCTGCGATTGCGAACAGTACGAAAATCGAGATTGGAGAACGACAACGAACTACAGAATAGCAGAGAACGTTCCGAGTTGCAACTATTGTGCTGCTACAATAGTTGCAAGGCCGTTGCCAACAACGGTGAAGGGTGAGAACCAGCCTTCCGGATTAGCAAGAAATCAAGAGTAAGGGGCTTGATTCAGCGGATTCAAGAATCCGGAAGGGTCTCGGGACGGAAACTTTTATTAACTCACATAAACTTTTAGCATCATGTCATGTCCTGACTTGAATTTAACTGATATTTTGATAAGTTTTGACAAGGATGAGGTGCTAGGAGTTGGGGGAAAGGGTTGATCCATCTTCGATGGAGATGATGATTTTTATCTACTGAACAAAAACAATAGTAATATAATAAGTAGTAGTTGCTCTGATTTTAGGAGTGACCTCGTGGTCTGGGGATACTGAGACCCAGCCATGAGCTCACTATCTTTGCATGTAATTCAGTTAATTTGAGCGTTCTGGTCGAAGCCGGAGAGCAGTAACGTTTTTGTCGACCCGATGTAAGAAAGACCACCGAAAAGTACTGGCTTGGTAGAGACGGTGAAAAACATGCAAAGCTCTGTTTAGACGCTAGCCAGTCGTCTTAAGACTTAGTTTTGTTATCCGTCGATATGTATCTTCCGGGCGAATGTTACATGTATGTTTTTATGGCGCTCCTGGGTGTTATTCTTTCATAACATCATGACCGGCGGAACCGTTAACGAGCACTCCGCGCCGAGCGGATGCTCACATTAACGCCCTTAATAGGCCTAAACTGCCGGGGCGGAAGGGTAGTTCGGAACGCGAAGCCTTCCGGATTACCGTGAATAGTTTTTTAACCTAGTTAAGACCGAAAATTCACGAACCAGGAAGGGTGGGGGGAATCATGAACCCCTCATCCCCTGAGTGGTTTGTGACCAAAAACACTTAAAGATATCAGCAAAACCAAACAAAAAGTAGTATAGTACCCAAGAAAAACAAAAAACATAAAAAATAACCGAAAAAACCAAAAACAGTAAAAAAGTAAAAAATCAGTAGAAATCATCCCCCCAGACAAGATGTGATTCAACCCCCCCGTTTGTTGTTGATAGATATATTGTTGTTACAGGCATTTATATCAGTCAGGATCGTTACGATCAATTTTGTAGCCCGTTTGTGAGGCTTGTACTGTAGGGTTATTTGAGCATTTAAGCACGTTAATGATAAATTGCGCTCAATCCGGAAGGGTCAGCTGATTTGCGCTCAATTCGGAAGGGTCTTGGGTGAAGACCGATCCGGCAAGCAGTTCAAGGAGCAACAAGAAGGGGCTCAACGACAACAACAATCGACTGTTGGGTATCGTTAACAAGTTTTGTATCCCTTTTGGTACAAAAAGTAAGATAGTAATCTGTGGGGGGCTCGACAGTGCTGCACTGTAGTGACCCTTCACCGAACTGCGAATATCCGAGTTAAGCACCTTAATTCGGATAATAAACAAACCCGGAGGGGTATAGTATTACTAATATTATTATTCATATAGCCTATATTAATAGTCACATATCGTTTTTCAGTGAAAAACAACGAAAACAGACCGGTTTTTAGGGTCAAAATAGCGATATTTTGATTCCCCCACAAGTCGCGATTTTTGAGATATCGATATTTTTTGAAACGGAAAAAAGCGCTAAGTTAGTGTGTTACATCGTAACTGCACTACTGTAATAAGTAGAACCGGTTAAACTTTAGTTCGGAAGTGGTTGGAACTAGTTTGGTACCAAAAACCAAATTTTCCCAATTTTTGATAGTAAGAAACACTAAAAATTTAGAAAATTTTTTGAAATTTTTGAGGTAGGACAGTAAAAATAGTTGTTCGGACAACGTCCACTAGTGAATCTACAAGTCTGAAAATCCGCTACCCGAAAGCCTTCCGGGTTGCAGAGAAATCGAACATAACGTGTTTGATTTGGTGGATTCATCAATCCGGAGGGGTCCAGGTAGCATAGTTTTTCGCAAAATTTTTCTACAATAGCGTTTTAGATTGGGTCTTTTGCATTGAACTAGAAGAGTATAGGCCTTCTGAGCTCGGATCAATAATTTTTAGGTCGAAAGGACCAGATTTGCAGAAAAAGTTAGGCGGAACCTATAAGAGAGAAAATGTTTTGAGTTCGGAAAAAAGACGTTTTGGTTAATAACTTTGGAACTACTGATCATATCGAGTTGATCTTGGTACCAATAGATCAGAAATTAGCTGAGCTTACTAATAGGATCAGAAATTTTTCGGAAAAGTTTTTGAGATTGTTTTTAGCAAATTACACAAATCCGGAGGGGTACACCCTTCACGTTTTATAAATTTTTCTGAAAAACCCTTATACCCCTACCAAAAGTTGATAGCGATTGAACTAAGTAACTTAGGACAGTTCTAGACAAAAAGGGAAGGCTGAAGGCACAAGACAACCATAATAGAGTCGAAGTTAGGCAAGTGATAAGACCCTTCACCGTTAGTGTGAATTGTCAAATAAGTGCCTTAACTTCAATCCGGAGGGGTCTAGGAAAGGACCCTATACCCTTCCCAGTTAATTCAAACAGCATAAAAGCAACGCAGAACGTATCCGGAGGGGTATAAGCTGAAATTAAGAAAACTACAAAAAGCTACTTTGACAGAGCTAAGGGCTCCCAATCCGGAGGGGTCGAAATTTTTCAAAGTCAGAGGGGTCCGAATCCGGAGGGGTCTACTTTCCACAAAACCGGAGGGGTCCGAATCCGGAGGGGTCTTATAGTTACTAATTCCGAGGGGTCCCAATCCGGAGGGGTCTATATTCTGACAGTCCGGAAGGGTCCTATTTGTGCCAATCCGGAGGGGTATCATTTTATTAAGGACTTAGGTAAACGAAAGAAAGACTAAAAAGCGAGAGGTATTAGGTTATTAATACACAGGCTAGGTATCAGTGACTGCACTGGTAACTTGCCTCTCAAAAAGAACCAGACTAATACAAAACAGGTCCGAACTCGGATATTCGCGACACTAAGTCTAAATTAAAAAGAGCGTGACTCATTGGTGTGGATTGAAACATAATACGTTTTTGGGAAAAGTAACTGCCCAGAGGATTTTAGTAGGTCTAGCTCGGGCAGTCCGAAGGCAGATAGGTAACACAGTACTCGGTGGGTGCAATAGACGCCCACTTGAGAAAATTACTGCCTTCAAAGTTTTGTCTGTTTGGTGCAGCACCAAGCAGGGAAAGCTTTTTCTTTAAAAGACAGGTTCG